CGTAGCATCGTCACAACATTTAAAGAACATATTGCTCACTTTAGATATAATCGGGTTGATAAATCAAGTGTTGCCCAACACATCATCGAGACTAGTCATCCTATATCACCTCTGATGATTTGAGACTTCTTGAAAATAGAAATTATGAAATACATTGGGCAAACACATCGTAGCATCGTCACAAAATTTGAAGAATACATTGCTCACTTTAGATATAATCTGTTTGATAAATCAAGTGGTGCCCAACACATTATCGACACTAGTCACCCTATATATCACCCCTGATAATTCGAGAATTCTTGAATATATAAAAAACGATTGATAAGTAAATGCACAGTCTGTAAAGTACATAGATATTATTTACAATATCCGTAATAGTGATCATTTGTTCAATCAAAATTTATAGTACTTCAACACGACCTATATGTACTGATATGCTTTCTCCAAGAAATTAGCCCAAAGTTTAGGGAAATTTTAGTCATAAGTATACCTTCTTGTCCGATTTGTACGTTTTTTGTTTTGAATGACAGAGGTTATTTCCTCTTGAGTGAAATAGTTACATTATAGGGGTTAGAGTCGAGCCCAATCTTTTTTCAACATTTCTTTATTTTTGGATTCCCTCCATCATCTTTCCTATAACTCGAAAAACACCATATTATAGCGTAATATGATACTATGAAAAATTAATATCCAAATCTGCCTATACCCAAAATAAGAGATATGTCATATTGGTCCAGGTATTCCCAAAATTTCTATCATCAGTATCTGCCGTGAGTATTCAAGTTATACGCTTTATGTCATCTTTTCTCAATATAATGATAAAAATAATCATAATAGGTCTTTATCAGACGAAAGTTTAGTATAAAACTATTCTTTGTAGCATATACCTACAATAGAAAAAATACAATTTGTATTGAAAAGAATGAAAAAAAAATAGCGGAAAAAATCATTGATATTTATGTGAAAGATAGATATATTATATCATAAAGCTTTTCATCATGAGTATTGTTAGTTTGGTTAGAGGAGAGATAGATTCATTGAGATATTTGATTTTTTATCATAAATTGATGATCAATTGTTTGGCTAGAAGTTTTTTTTTTAAATTTGTCCTAAATGAACTTACTGACATTCTCTTCAGATGGTCATCTAAATTATTATAAACATGAGGAGCTCCGTAGGCGAAGAAATAAGATTCAAATCTCTTTGTATGGTGTGAACGAATAATGTCCCAGAGATTCTCAATGAGATTTGAAGCCTGGCATTATATCTTGCACCAAAAAAAATCCTTACACTCATTCAGCTGCAAAGTTTCTATTTATGATCACAATTTCCATGCAACCAGTTAAAGAAATGCCTTCCCAGGCCATATAGCCTGTTATTGTGCTTCAATTGAATTCAATAAAATCATGTTATGCGGTAAAATTGGAGAATTGGATTTCTGGAGAAATGGGAAAGTTAATGGAGTGAATCCACAGAAGGATTCTTGAAAAAAGATAAGGCTAAAGGATACTTTCAATTTCAACCTGATAACATAACTGTTATACTCCACAGAGTATTACAAATTCCATGAAGAAAATACGCCCCCAATAAGAGGGCCCCGGGCCCAAGAGGCCGCGAGCTGAAATCGCGTTTTCTTTCAATGAATAAGTATATACAATTGTTTCAAATTCCAGTGTTCTGCAGCCTTCCATGCACTTTAAAAGTTTCAACTGACACTGATCTATTAAAAAAGCTCTAGAATTTGTTGAGATATATAAAAAATACATGTTTGTGTCTGATTCATTTGTCAGAGAAATGCTCAGTTTTTGATCCTCTTTCAGAGACGAAATCCTTCGTGTATTAGAGACCTTGCTATAATTTATTGATATAAAATAATTTTTTACGTCGGCGGCAGTAGAAGTTAGTTTCTCTGGTAACAAAAGAGGGGCAAAAGTCTCGTATTATTCCCTAGGGAGATATAATGTGACATATTTTCACCCTAGGGAGTTTATACCAACTCTCCCTTCTCTGAAGCGAGTTTAAACTGCATCATACAGATTTCTAGATCTCACTGGTAGCAAGTTAAGAATCACTGCAGAAGCAGTATCAATATAGTTTCTTCATTCATTCATGTTGTCAAGATACGAAAACTAAATTTTAATTCTTTCTTAATGTTTGTGTATTCGCCATCAGCGTAAAAAATAGTAGGTATATATACCTCAAGACAGAATGCTATTTTTTCCTCGGTGCTTTGGAAAAAATCTTGCATTTCTGTCCCTTTAATGTACTATTATGTCCTGCAGCTTTCCTGTAGTATGCACTGCATGAATGTTTTTTCTCACAATTCCTGTGACTACAGCTAGTGCTGAATAATAATTTTCAAAACTAAAATTTATAAAAACCTATTTAAGAAACTCTATGAGGCAATACAGGTTATGTATTGCCTATTCTGTCTATTGAAAAGTCTATGGCCTGATGATTAAACTTAGATGATGTTATAGACACTTTTGCGGAACAGAAAGCTCGAAAAAGCCATTGAATTGTTATTTTTATTTCATTGTAAATGTATGCAGATTTCCTCAAGATGTTGTTACTTCATGTATTGAGATATTATGTTCTATGGATGAATGAAGTGTCCAATACGCACTGGGCTCGCTTGGGGACTATATTACTCACCGAACTGATGTACATAATCTCAATGTTAGAAACAAAGGTTTGTTGACACCTCCAAAATTCAGATTATAAATCTTTAGACGCAGTTTCAGCTATCAAATATGCTCGGTTTACAATTCCATTCCTATCATATTCAAGAAAAGAGGGTTACAGCGTTTGGTATTCACTACCGACTATTTCTCTGAGTCGGGCCCCAGATGGTATAGTTACGACACCGCCGATATTTATAAAAAAGAGGTAATTCAAAACAAAAAATGTCCAAATCGGATAAGTAGTTTTGACGAATATGTTTCCTAAACTTTTGGCTACTTTTTGATGGTGTGTTAATTTCTTGGAGAAGTGCTATATAATATTAGTACGTACAGCATTTTTGAAAAAGGGCATTCAATTTCAATTGTCACTTGGAGATGTTGGCAAAGTTAAGTGAAACACGTGTCCAAGCATTTAATAATAATTGGTTTGGTTACGGGTGAAACAGAAGAGTTGGTAGATAGATATAAATATACAACCCAAAAATGTATGCATGTTACTTAGAAAGTATTTATATGTCTAGAATTTATCTGTAGGCCATGGAGGAAGATATATTTCATATTCTGTACCATTTGTGTTCAGTATTAACTTTGAATGATATGCAGGTATTTATATATACAAGTTGAGAGTAATGTTAATATCACGAGAAGTATGAGTTGTGAAAATTCAGTTTCTCTATAATACTGTTCCATCATATTTACAAAATCATTGATGTTTAATGATTTTGAGAGTATAGTCATTTCCATACCTGTGCATGATATATATGTATAGAGTATTATTAAGAGTATAGGTGCCTATACTTACATTTTTTCCCTGGATTGTTCACAAAATTCTGAGGTTCACCTCAGTTGATGCTAAATCGGCGTATCACGCATTTATAGATGACCCAAATATTTCCTCAAATATAAAACTTTTGTTCGGTTCTGATGTTCCAGGAAACACTAGCCACTACGACCCAAAACTATTATATTAACGAAATATTCACCTTTATTTGAAACATGTTGGTTAGGCCACCATAAAGCAATAAACTTTATGACCTAGTACCACAAATTAGACTGACAGTTATGGCTTCCTCTATACTTTCTATTCTTCCAGGGATACCACAGTATATTGGGCCATGATAAAAATGTAATAAAGCAAACCAAAATCCAAAGAATAATTACAACAGTTTATTTTTTATATTCTTTTCTGTTCACATACCCCAATAAAAATAGTTTCTCAACAAACTCTTATACAATAAGCAGGGGCGGCGAGTTTTGTTTTGTCCAATGGGTGCCAAAATTGAGGGGTCAGGGTAAGACAAAATGATGCGCCGCGGGCGACAATTTTTCATGGTTCAAGGTCAAATGCCATCAAATTTCAAGATAGATAAAAGCATTATTTATTTTGCATTAAGTGTGAAACACCTCTACCAATATATAATATTTTGTGACTAATCGGGTTTCGAGTTTATGGTTGATATATTAATATGAACAAGGATGAGAAATAGAAGATTTTTTTTTTCACCATTGAAAAAAGTGAACATAACTCAAAATTTAAAACGATATTAGAAAATTCAATCTCTACAAAAATAAAATAAGATTTAATAATTCTCATATCTCAAAAAATGGAATAGAGAAACTTCGGGATTCGAAAAAATTAGCAAGTAACCCCAGTTAATTTATTGCAAAGGTATTCCTACTGACTGTATTATCAATGGATTCATTAGCCACATCTATTTTTTTCCAAACTGGCACTTGTAACCTGTGATGTCATAATGTCTAAAATTTAAATCAGAATATCTGCACAGTGCACAGTGTCAAACCCTGGATGCACATGAATCGAATATACGGTTCGCATGGTTGTTTACCTATACTTGTCCAGCAACAATGTGCAATATTTACAAGCGCTCATTTCGCCCGTATCTAATTTGTTTTTTTATACGTCTGATTCGGCCAATGGGTGCATTGCACCCATACCCACTGCCTACATGGGTGCATTGGCCCCGATGCCCCCATGCACTCGCCGCCCCTGACAATAAGTATCTACCTTCAGATTGCGTTATACGCTTTCACTGTCAATGAGAATATGACGTTATTGTTCAATTGGATAAGTGAACCATTAAGTGTAATTGAATATATTTTTGTATTGCCTCAATTGAATCAAGTAAGTATCTAGGCTTCTCAAGTAGGTGCTCAATTTATTTCATTGGACAAACAATTGTTGGCTATAAAATTTTTCATAGCGATCTTTAAAATGTTATATCAGTGAGTGTAAAGGTGATTTCATAGTAGTACTTTCTATTCCAATTGGGTTTCAAGAATGAATAAATGATAAATGTTTCAAATAAATTTATTTTTGTAAAATTCATTTTTTCAATATATTATACTGTACAATTCTATCATTTCTTAACACTAACATCACAAAATATGCAAATATACAATACACAACATACTATATATACAATATTTACAATGAAGAAAACAGTTCTACGGTTCGCTCTTAGATTAGTTATATGAGATCAATTGAACTATAAGGTTCTTAAGAACAGTATCTTCAACAACAAAACAAAAAATAGTACCTACTTTTACTAAGAACGTCAACTACGCCTCGAAAAAACACTAGGCAAAACAGTAACAGGCTTAAACAAAGTCGCATCTGGACTTTTCTGAGGTTCCGGCGAGCTGGACGTACTGGTAGGAGACAAAGCCATCTGAGATTGCGACATCATCGGATGAGGTAACCGGAAATTATTGTACAGGTCCATGGACTGTCTGAACAGGGGATTGTTCAAGTCTACACTAGGCGCCGCAGCAAGCAGCCTCTCCATACCAAAGTTGTGCTGTGCATGAGAAGCCATAGGCCTCAGAACGTTTGGAACAGAAGCTGCGTTCACGTAGGGATGATACCTCTGGTAAGCAGCAGCGAACATAGTAGGCGACGGTGGATAGAAAGCCGGATACATCGGTTGAATTGGCGAGTACATCGACAAGGTACGTTTGAAAGCAGCCAACCTTGACCTGGAAGCTGCGGTAGACCTTCTCCTGAGCTTGCCTGTGGTTCCTCCGATAAAAACGTCTTCAGCGCTAGGATCCAGCATCCAGTAGTTGCCTTTGCCTGGGTCATCGTAGTGTCGAGGTACTTTGACGAAACATTTATTGAGGCTGAGGTTGTGCCGTATGGAGTTCTGCCAGCCTTGTTTGTTATCCCTATAGTACGGAAAGTTGCTCATGATGTACTCATAGATGCCGTTAAGCGTCAAGCGCTTGTCTTGGCTGTTCCTTATTGCCATCATTATCAGAGCGTTGTAGCTGTAAGGAGGCTTGTCCTTGCTTTTCTTATCACTGCAGCTAAGGTCTTCGGACTGCTTGGTGCAGTCTATTGGTGATGAGGTGTCATCGTCACCAGTAACATCTAAATCACTATCGGTATCACTGAGTTCGTGTTCAGGCGAATGAATGGAAGTCACTTCGGCATCTTGGTGAGAAGCAGGTGCTTCCAAAGCTGTCTCTGGTAAGAGGGAGCTTATTGAAAAAGACGATTTCAAAGGGGTACGCGCCATTGTCGGTACAACTACTACCATATTTCAGCAAGTGCTATCAAGTTGAGCTAGTTAAAACACAAACACTTTACCAACTCGGCTCGAATACAGATCGCAACTGACTAGCTAGGCTTCAACTTCTACTACCATAACCGTCTTGTCACTGAAGAGTCCTCATTGGGAGAGGGGGAATCTAGTTGCATAATGGTGGGGGAAGGCTGATCTTGTTGCGCCAATAGGTTGAGGTTATTCTACATGGGAACGCCTATTTGTTGCGGTTGCCTCCTATACTTCGGATCTGAGTATCTGATATATTGAGTTGTTTACTGATATTTAGGGGGTTTGTATGTTTGTTTTGTAAATTCGCTGGTAACATTTGGTATCGCCGCATGATGTCCGCATGAAAGTAATGCGGGTTTTCTTTGGGATAAATGAGTTGTATTATATTCGGGAAACTCCACCTGGCACTTATAACAATTGAATGTTGAAGTATCATTGATTTTTGGTATGGATTCTAACAGTGTTCGGGAAGTAATTGACATGATTCGTTATGAAATAGAGAATGAATAATTTATACTTTGAACGAGGGAAAGGAAATGTGTCTGAGAAATTGAAATAGCAGAATGATTAGGTATATATATGATATAGGTACATGAACAAAAAATAATGAGGTTCAAATTATTTCCGAATCGAAATGAATGGGGCATGATAAAAAATAAGAGAATGAGTAAACATATAAACATTTGATATTTGACCCCTTATAAATTGCCTGAATAAAATTTTGTTTGAATACCTATAGGTACCTATACGTCCTAAAAGGTTAGGGGCAAAAAATCGGAAAACGGATGATTGCGCGCAGCGGTCAAAAAACTTGATGTCAAGTAGATAAATAGCATAGATATAGGACAATTGCGGGCGAGTTATATACCTTCGGTATATTATGGTCAATTGTGCGCGGATCAAACTTTTTGATACCAAACGCTCCGTGTGGAATAAGGATCATATCTCAGAAAGAATACTACTTTTTGTCAAGCTAACCTCACTTGGTCTAAATGAACATTCTTAATAGAATAAAGTATACCTATTTTCGGAAGGAGACTACTGATGTTTCTAAACAATCTCACCTTACTCGGCCTTAATGAACCTCATTAATATGGAGTAAATTTTCCAACTCCGATCCATCGATCGAAGAAAGCTACTTCTTCTGAACAATCTAACCTTGTTGTGTTGTTTTTTTTATGAAGTTCCAATGTAGGAAATATACGCATTTATGTATTCTCATTGATAAGATGCACGCCCCCTTTTCAGGGTTACATTGAAAAAATATACTTATATAAAAGATTTAAGCACTTGATGAGCTCGAGATATACAGGGTCTGTACAAAATCTCAGCACATATTGCTCAGGTCGAAATAAACCGATTCAAAGCAACTAAACACAGTCCGAAAGTGCTTCATTTCCGAGATACAGGGTGGTAAAGTTGAAAATTTCCAAAGAATTTTTCAAAATATATGAACATTTCAAAACGTATGACTCCCAGAATTGGTATAGCTACATAGGGGCTTCTTGATTGCTTGAGATGCTACGAAGGCGCTGAAGGGCCACCTATACTTTTTTTTTTTCGAATCCCGACTTTAAAGTCGGACCCCCGACTTTAAAGTCGGGGGTCCGAGATTAAAGTCGGGGGTCCGAGATTAAAGTCGGGGGTCCGACTTTAAAGTCGGGGGTCCGAGATTAAAGTCGGGGGTCCGACTTTAAAGTCGGGGGTCCGAGATTAAAGTCGGGGGTCCGAGATTAAAGTCGGGGGTCCGACTTTGAAGTCGGGGGTCCGAGATTAAAGTCGGGGGTCCGACTTTAAAGTCGGGGGTCCGAGATTAAAGTCGGGGGTCCGACTTTAAAGTCGGGGGTCCGAGATTAAAGTCGGGGGTCCGACTTTAAAGTCGGGGGTCCGAGATTAAAGTCGGGGGTCCGACTTTAAAGTCGGGGGTCCGAGATTAAAGTCGGGGGTCCGAGATTAAAGTCGGGAGTCCGAAACTTAAGTTAGGAGCTAGATTATATTCTTTAAATATGTGGACAGAAATGAATATTTTCCATTGTTACTCATCAGTTTGATGTCAGCAACATGCTCCTGAATTTTCTACATGTACTCGAGAAACACCCTGTACGTTTATGTACAAACAATAATTTTACATCCATTGGATAATCATCACATAAGGATCAGTCAAAATCCTCCCTTTTGGATGTACACTGAATGTCAAATAATGGATCACACCTGTACGATCATTATCGTACGTATAGGGTGATTGTATATATTCCACTTCATAGCTGAGAATCTCATTTGTTTGTTTAAAGGGTGCAAAAAGATTACAATACAAAACATATATTTTCACAAATGAACTACCCTGAATGTCATTTCGTCCTTGGGTAGAGCTCAGAAAGATGAGTTTAATGATACATGATTACATTTGTAGGTATGAGATCACCCCTTCCGGACTATTTTCATAATCTTCTTCAATAAATAGCCAAATTTCTAAGCCTTATGAAAACGTTGAGAATCAAGTTTTCAATGCGCAGTTTTCATTATGAATTAACTGATTATACAGGGTGGTCCACGGTGGATGGCCTATTAGAAGTATCTGGAGAACGAAAAAACAGAACATTCTGAAAATTGGGATACTTTGATAATTGAACATTTTCTATCCCACTAGAATATTTTCATCGATACAGTGTTGCCACTTCTATAAGAAACAACTAGCAACTTCGCTATTTTGAATGGAGCACCCTGTATATTCTATTGCATTATTAGATTCCTCCTGAAGAGCTGATTTCATCAATCTTGGGATCTAGCAGGAATGATTACAGAGATATATGATGTTCAAAATCGAGATTTTTTAATTTCAGGATTTTTTGTGTCGAAACTATTCATTATCGATCGAAACGACTAACATGTCCCTATCTTAACTTTTGATTCACTAAATACTGGAATTTAATTGGAACAAATACAGGGTGCTTCAAGATTCAGAATTCTGATCACCCTGTATCTGTTCCAATTAAATGTCAGTAGATAGTGAATCAAAAGTTAAGATAGGGACATGTGAGCCGTTTTGATCGATAATGAATAGTTTCGACACAAAAAAATCCTGAAATTCAAAATTCTAGATTTTGAACACCCTATATCTCTGTAATAATTCCTGCTAGACCACAAGTGTGATGCATCGATGAAATCAGCTTTTCATGAAGGATCTAAAAATGCAATAAAATACAGGGTGCTCCATTCAAAATAGCGAAGTTGCTAGTTGTTTCTGATAGAAGTGGCAACACTGTATTGATGAAAATATCTTAGACGGATAGAAAATGTTCAATTATCGAAGAATCCCAATTTTCAGAATGTTCTGTCTTTTCGATCTCCAGATACTTCTAATAGGCCATCCACTGTGGATCACCCTGTATATGTTATATTGATATTTTGTCAATATTGAGGATATTCGAATTAAACAAAAGTGATGACGTATTTTGCAAACCGATCATCTTCTCGGAATTTTCGAATGTATTCAATTTCATTCTTGGATAGAGCAAAGAAAGACGAATTCAATGATATATGATATCATAGAATGGGTCTGAGAACACCCGTTTCGGACTTATCCATGAAGTCCGAGATTAAAGTCGGACCCCCGACTTTAATCTCGGACCCCCGACTTTAATCTCGGACCCCCGACTTTAAAGTCGGACCCCCGACTTTAATCTCGGACCCCCGACTTTAAAGTCGGACCCCCGACTTTAATCTCGGACCCCCGACTTTAAAGTCGGACCCCCGACTTTAATCTCGGACCCCCGACTTTAAAGTCGGACCCCCGACTTTAATCTCGGACCCCCGACTTTAAAGTCGGACCCCCGACTTTAATCTCGGACCCCCGACTTTAAAGTCGGACCCCCGACTTTAAAGTCGGACCCCCGACTTTAAAGTCGGACCCCCGACTTTAATCTCGGACCCCCGACTTTAAAGTCGGACCCCCGACTTTAATCTCGGACCCCCGACTTTAAAGTCGGACCCCCGACTTTAATCTCGGACCCCCGACTTTAAAGTCGGACCCCCGACTTTAATCTCGGACCCCCGACTTTAAAGTCGGGGGTCCGACTTTAAAGTCGGGATTCGAAAAAAAATAGTATAGGTGGCCCTTCAGCGCCTTCGTAAGATGCTGAACCCGTATATGGACACTTTTTCAATGTGGTCATTAGAGGGCGCTTATACCAAAGCACTTCTTATGGTTCAGAATAGCCATATAACTTTTTTATCATCTTTGTAGTTTCACACTTTTTTTGTTGAGGAAATGATTTTATGAATCTTTTCCAGCAAAAAAGGTGAACTTGCGAAAATTCGCTACAGTGAGCCGTTTTCGAGGTATTTTGGTTTTTATTGTTCGATGTCGTACCGGAATATTCGAATTATTTTCAATAAAAAAATTGAAATGGATTTTTCAAAATACTTTCTTGCATGAGGTGATGTACTTGTCGATTATTAATTTTGAAATCTACCAACTCGTATTTCGCGGAAACTGAGCCATTTCGGACTGAGGTAAGTTGCTTCAAATCGACTTATTTTGACCTCATTAGGACAATATATGTGGTAAGATTTTGTACAGACCATCAGTGCAGTATTTAGGAACACCCTATTTAGACCTATATGGTTAATTGAAAGATGAGATAAGATAACATTAACTCTGATTTGAATCGATTAATCTCATTCTCAGATAGGTAATCATAATTTACAATTGAATACATCAGAATCATCATCAGTATTTATTAGACAAAAGCAGTTGGTAGAATCGGTGTTTAGTGTTAAAATTCAAGATAATCCTTTGCAGTCCTCCAAATATACAAGAATTCTTGGTCTCGAATTTGATAGAGATTTACGTTTCAAGTCGCACGTTAATAAATTAATGCAATCGTCATTTGTTGTCAGAGTGAATGAAAATCAAACTTTTTTTTTAATTGATTCGGCTGTTACTTGATGGAAATCCATGGAAAATGTAAAAACTTCACGAACGATAAGATTTCCACAAAATTTTTAGTTTTTACATTTGAAAATCAAACTAACAGATTCACTGGTGCCCTGGTGCTGATGAG